CTGAACCGGCAGCAGGATTTGAAGTAGTGATGACTAAATTATATTTATGAGACTATTATGAGACTGTCTTCAGTCTCCTACTTGCAGTTCAAGAAAAGAATCTTGGACATGAGTACCAGGCCTCAGCTATGGAAACCATTGGTGATGGCCTGGCTGAAAATGAAAGCTGGGTACAGGAATCGCCGTATCAGAGTGGCCACAGCAAATAAAGGAAATGCCCATGAATCTGCACTGGCCACTGGGCCTTGCTGAGCTCCACTAAAGATACAGTTACTGCTGAGATAAACACCCCTTCTGGTCTTGTAAATCATAGAAGCCTTTGAACCCAAATCTCAAATCCAAGCTAGAGAAAGTACTGATTCAAATGTCGTTTCTGAGCCTTGTCTGTGGAACAGGCAAAACAACATCCAAACAGATTGCTTACAACTGTGGATCCAGACTTTCAGATGTTCTCTTTAACTCACCTTGTTTATGTTCACACCAACTCCACTCCATTTATCTTCACGCTCTTTCTGTTCAATTTACCATTGTAAATGTTGCTGTAGTCACGAAAGAGAACTGACTGAAATGGGGTATTCTTGGCCATGGCTAGTGGTTAATGGAGATGATTTCTTCCACAGTACTTCTTTTGGGAAAGAATCCAGTTACATGCGAATATAAATCTCACTAGTCTCATTAAACTAGTGGAGCCACAGTAAGATTAGAATCAACATGTAAACACTTACTAAAAGAGACCACAGTATAAAATAGAAGGAGGGAGAAGTACGAGGGTTAACTGAAAAGAGGAGCAAAAAAAGCATTTTGTTAATCACTGAAGTGTGACAGGCTATTGCTCCAGTGCTCTTGTCCTCTGACTCATTAAAGGCAGCAGTGCTCTGTGTGAGAGTTTGGAGTGACGCCTGGCATCCCCAATTCCAGCATGTGACAAATCAGCAGTTCCTGCACAGGGAGGCAGAACACACTGGTCGTGGTAGGGAAACCTGAGCTGGCAAAGGTGAAACTTCCTGAGGGAAAAACAAGATGCTGTGATATGATGGCTTGATAAAAAGAGGAATGCTGACACAGCCTAGAGCTCATACTGCCCTAAGAATTGGAAAAAAACAAATTTTATGATTTTTTGAGAACTACTTGATTTTTAATTGTTTTCTGCTCTGAAATGCTTGAAACCAAAATAAGTTGAAGTTTCTCAGGATGTGGAATTGAGATGGAATTGTTTTAGGCTCAGTTGATGTGTTTCACACATCACTTTTTGGCTTATTTTAATCTTTGAAGCAATTAAATTAGTCCTTTATATAAATTTTATGTTTTTAAGAGGTATTCAAATTGAAAAAATAACCTCACCAGGGCAGAGCAGAGGGGGAGGACACCCTCCTGTGATGGGCTTGTCACACTCTTCTTAATGCACCCCAGGATACCATTGGCCTTCTTAGCCACAAGGACACGTTGCTGTCTCATGGTTAACTTGTTGTCCACCAGGACTCCAGGGTCCTTCTCTGCAGAGCTGCTTCCCAGCAGGTCAACCCCTAAGCTGTGCTGGTGCGGGGGTTATTCTGCCTGAGGTACAGGACTCTGCACTTGCCCTTGTTGAACTACATCTGCTTCCTGTGACATATTTATTGTGAAAATAACTCCATACAATATTTCAATATTATTTTGTCTCCACTCAAAATAAAATCATACTTTTATATTTTATTTATAATAATAAAGTAATATATTTTATCAAATTGCATAACGCCAGAATACTTTTAACAAAACCATATTTTTTTGTTGAAAGGCTCTTTGAATGGAGAAATTATCCAGCATCTCTATGGATTACTCAGAGCATAAAAACTTCAGAAACAATAATATTTTATTGATTTTGTTTTGAACAAGTGATTTTACAGATCTGGTGGCAACTAGAGGAAGGCTCAGTGGTGTCATATGAGCCCTATAATTATTGCAAATACCAGTGTACTCCTGGCCACAAATGATATTTCTTTCCCGTGTTCACTTGTTTTCTTCTTCTTGTCTTCTCATTTATTTATACTTCCTATTGTCAGTACAGTTGCTGTGTCTGGCTTTAGTGAAATTGATTTTTCTTAGCTACAGGCTGTAGAGTGTCCCTGTGGTTTTTATTATAAGGCAGTTAATATGACCTATCTCTAGAAAGAATTAGGCTGATTTTGTAAATCATCATTTTTTTCCTGCACAGCAGAGTTAGTAAAGCATAAGAATGGGAATAGCTTGGGCTCGATTCTCCACCAGACAGAAGTATGTGCAGAGGTTTCACACACAGGTTGCCTTTTTCACTTTCTTTAAGTGAGGGTATAAAGCATTAGGAAAAAAAAATATTTTCTTGAGATCTTCCACAGGAATTAAAAAACTAGGGTAAGCTCATCACATTCTAATTAACCCATAAGATAATAAAAGCCCTCTAGCTTTCAGTGCTGCACAGTGTTGAAGTCCTGTTCCCTGTTCACACTGCCCTGCATGGGGTGTGCCTCTGTGGGCGCTGGGAGCACCCCCTCTCCTGGAGGCTTGGCTCTGGGGCCCAGGGCCAACTCAGCCACTTCCCTTCCCCTGGGACAGCACTGTGGGGAGGCCAGGGCTGCTTCCCACAGGAGCTGTTTTCAGCAGAGGCTGCAGCATTTTGGCTACATTGAGGCTGTGCCTGTGCCTGGCCGTGGACCTTGTTGATCCAGGCCCAAATATGCAGCCTGTCTTCCTGCCCTGACCTCAGGAAGAGGCCAGACCTCCCTTGTCTCAGTGGACTTGCTTGGAGACCACAGGGTTGTGTCTGATTCTAGTTACTGTAATGAGACCAGATTCTGACCCTGACTTGCTAACTCATGTTCTTGGCTTGACCTCAGACCTGTCTCATCACCCATAAAGTTATGTGGTGACCTGGCCACTTCCTATAACCTGAATACCATCCCTGGGTCTGCCCTGGTCACCTCACTCAGGTACCATGGGACAGGCCCTGGCCCTGCCAGCCTGGTTATCATGCTTGGCTCCATCTCACAATCCCCTGGGGAGCAGCCATCCTGCACTGTGCCCTGACAGAAGACTTCTGCTACTGAGGATATTTTTTTCTGATGCCCTTGGGCTATCTCAGCCCTGCCAGTTCTTTTACCCTCTGCAGTTACTTTCCCTTCATGCTGTTCTTGATGGAAGGAATTAAAATGACATTAAAATTTAATTTTAATTAAAATTAATTAAGAGAATTAAAAGCCAAATACTTTTGCTTGAAAATGCCCCAGTTACATATCTTTTCCTAATCTATTCTTGTGCTTTCTTAAAACTGAGAACTTTGGAGATGAAGGTGCAATAAGAAGTTTATTTGTTTAAAAGTGTTACACAAACTGAGAGACCAGATTGCCATTGTGGCCATTATTTTCTTGCAGACAGTTGAGGTGATGGGATGCTGGTTAGACTTGGCTAAGCTTTTTAGGCAGCAACAGCTAGAGAATGGAACTTGTCTCCTTTGCCTTTTCTGGGCATGAGTCTGATAGAGAAAGTTCTTCAGGAAAAGGGAGAGTAACTGGTCTGGTGACTGGTTTGGTCAAGCCTGGTTTGTCTGTCTGTTTTCTCCATGCAGACTGGGCATACATCCTACAGTCTCAGGTGGAATTGGCTTTCCATCTTTAGTTTCATTTTGACTTTCTGGTGGGTTTTGGAAGGAGATGTCATCTGAAGGGGCTAGAATATTAACCCATCCCAGTTTTTTTCTAGATGTGGGTAGAAAAGATACATTTCTGAAGGGGAAGCTTGTTGATGATTCTGTCTGGATTCTCCAAGTGACTGATTAGCTTGGTCTTCAGTGGCAGGATCCTAAGTAGCAGGCAATAAGCATTACCTGTATTGAAGCTATTCCAAATTCTTTCAGATATGAAGAATGTCACCCTTCACACTGAGGAGCTGCTGCAATTCCAGTCTGCAAAGACCAGCTGCAGAACAGAAGCTCAAAGCATAGACAGATGGAACTACTTTCTTGTGCCAGTGGAGATGGGTGCACAAAACTCGGGTAACTACACAGTTATTGCTCTTTGCATTCGCTTTGTTATTTACAATTTATTTGTAGAACATTCTGAACACATTCTGTTTGATTGACTCTGTATTTATTCTGTTGCCTTTTTATCCACCTAGCAACAGTCCGTTTTACCACAAGAGAGATTTCTTCCCGATTCGGCCTTATCTCTTTCTTGAAGCCCATATCTTTGGGAATAAGAAAAATTAAAAATGGCTGGGCTTTCAAGAGATCAGTTCTTGTTTTGTAAAGAGTATTACTCTTGCAATATTAAGATTAGATTAAGAAACACCTGCAGACTGTAGATTTCACAGGATATTGTGATGAACTATTGATGTTCCAAGTGACTGTTTACTAAAGAGCCTTTGCAGAAACCTATTTGCTAGAAGAAGAAAATGCAAGCATTTTTCACATTGTAGCACTGATACTTAGCTCATATCTTGTAAAATAAGTGATTATGAAAGGCTGAATAGTTCTAGTCTCTGCATGTATTTGTAGGGATAAACAGCTTGGGCAACCTTTTATTTTGGGATTGGTAAACTTACAAAGGCAGACAGCATTTTGAAAAAGGCTTTATGTTTGCAAAGGAGGGTTAGGTAACACAACAGTAAAAATAAGCTTGCCACTTAAGGCCCAATTACAACAGCACACTTAAGTTCTACTGCAGTAAAATATCTCCATGCAGGCAAGTTATGTAATAGAACATAATATCATTTTTCATGCAAAACCATTTCACAACATACTAGGGGAATAAATGATAAAAAAGGTGTTTCTAAAAGGTTTTTTACTAGGCTGTAGGAAACATGGCTTGGATCTCATTTAAGATGGGACTTGAAACGTTAGCTCTTAGCAGCATGGCCTTTTAGTCTTTCAGTTTCTCTTACGACTTTTTCCTTAGTTCCTAAATGTTTTCCTTAGCTGACCTGACTGTAGTACGAATATACTCTTTACACATTGTGATTTATTGTCTGTGTCTGTTTACTTGGAAGAAATCTTTAAGAATGATTCCATTTTGTAAGGCAATGGCTACCCTGCCTTTTTCTGGAAGGTACTTTTTTTCTCTTTTCTTTGTTCATGAACTTCTAGGTAAGAATTCGGAACTTTTACTGAAATGTTTTCTCTATTCTAAAGCAGTTTGTACCATTGCAAAACAGTACAGAGCTACAACCCATAAAAAGATGCCTGTGGCCTTTGATTCTTGTCTGCGAGGAGCCAAGGGGGTAGGCTCAGTATTCACTGAGGCATCAAAGTATCTGAAAAATAGGTATTTATACTTCCAGCTAGTTGTGATGAAAGTGGCTTACACTTGGAAATGTCAGCAATTGTGTCATTTTTGGAGCAGGATGTTTCCTGAATTAAAAACTCTACAAAATATGCAGGACCAACGACCTACTGTTAATGAGAAGTCAGTGGCAATTAGACCTTGTGTGTAAGTCAGGAAGAAAGAAGAATCCTACAGACCTTGAAATATATGTAAATCTCCTGCTAAGTGTAGAAAGAACACGTTATACTTGGTGTGTTACTGTTAGTTATATTATAGGAATTTTTATTTTTTTGCCAGTGCTGCTTTATTGCCTAGTTATTTTTTATTTCTTATGTATGCACAATCTTAGTAACTCATGGATTAGCTATAGTTGAAGTGAGTTTGGCTTTTGTAATAAGTTAGCATCCACATAGAACTACACATGCAAAGACCATCTTCAGTGCCTTCTTGATAATATCTGTCTGCTTTAGTGAACAAGATCACTTTCTGTTTCTGAAATGCAGGTACCTCAGGGTTGGAAAATGGGAGTGACTAAATATCGTACTGTAGCAATATCTAACAGTTTGAAATAAAGAGTGAAAACCACCTTGTTATCTAAACACAATGGATTTGAGAGAGACGGGATATTACTGTGGTAAACAAACAGGATTTAGCCAGGAGATCATTAACTCTCTGTTAGTATAAAAACAGTTTTAAACCATGTTTAAACTAATTCAGTGCATTACAGGTATGTATTGGAAAGGATGACTGTGCTTTTTAAAATACTTGTTATTAGGAAATCACCGATTCGTGGTAGTGGTAGAAGGAAGAGCTCACAGTGACACTTTCCTAAATTTTGGAATGCAAACCTGTGTCTTAAGTTTTGCATAAAGCCCTTCTTTTTTGCAATAAATGGAGTCAGTGCCTTGGGTTGATGCAGACTCTCATTTCCCAAGAGAGGCTGTATAGAAATATTGTCTGTATTATACAGATACAAATTCTAAACAATCCGTAAGACAAAATTTTTCACAAATTATGTGAAATAACAGCTGGATCCAAACTTCTTAAGGGCTAAAGCAAGTCAGATGAGCATTGGCTTACCTGCTTTGGAGCTCTTGTGACATTGAGGACAGAGATATGATACATTTGTTCACTCTTTTCATTGAATTTGGCAAGCCTTTGAACAGCAGCCTCCAAATATTTTGGCTCAGGGAGACAGTAAACAACTGGGCAGCCAGGACATACTGTTCAAAAATACCTGGTGGAACTTTTTATTAAAAAGCCCCCAATTTCATTAGAGAAAGCATAACCATAAGTGCACGTTGATAGTGTAGGTCATTGTAAATGCATAAATACCCCCAACCCTATCCACTTGTTCCCCAGTGCCCTGGAATAAAAATATGTGGTTTGATTCACTCAATGTTTTTGAATCTTGTTGAATGTGCAAGCCCATTAAAATGTTGCAGTGGAGGCTGAAACACTGCAGAAAAATGCTCAACTTACTGACAGTGGGGTCACTAGTTTTACTTGCCTTTCACAAACTGAGGAAAATGCTTTTTGGACCAGAGAGTAAAAGCCCACACAGAGACACGGCTGGGTTTCCCAGAGATGAGAACAGTTATTACTGCAGTGTATTGAGCTGCAGGACCACACTGGGCTTATGATCACTGACGTGAGAAAATCAGGGCATCTGAAAGCTTATGGAGATACTGCGGTGCCATAACTACAGTTAAAGTGATGCTATATGGCAAAGAGTATTTTTCCAGTCCTCTTCTAAAGTGAGTGTGTTAAATAAAGACATTCCTGGTTGTAAAGTGAACCCATAAATATTCAGATGAGCAATATTTCTTGCCTGATTAATGTAGATAATTGCTTTGCATTTACCATAAACCTAAGACAATATAAACATTCAGAAACAATTCATATTTCACCCTTTGCACTGATCATCTAATAGCTAGTCAGTGAGGAGTTCCTTTTCTCCCGGCAGTCATGAAATTCTTTTTAGGAAAAAAGTTGTGTTGATACCCAGATGGCAATGAAGCACATTTCTAGGTATCTCCTTTAGAAATAAAAGGCCAGATCTTCCCCTGGTGCAATTCTGAGGTGCAGTGCTTGTGTGCAGGATGGCCAACACAAGGCCACTATTCCAGGGGCTAAGAAATGCCCAAGTGTCACAGAGTGTTTTTTGCTTCCTAGGCCCCCAAACCAGGAATTGGGTCAATGTCTAGAACCCAGCTTAAACCTGGAAATCAGCATGGAGTGTCTGGATCCAGATGTGTGTCTTCACCTCCCCTTCTCCCTATGTCCATAGTAAGGTAGGAGGGAGGTAAGAAAGACTAATTTGGTTTTGTGGCACAGTGAGAGTACCCTCGCACACAAACTCTGACTTTATGGCAGAATAAAAATACTGGCCTATTAATATCCAGTGTGCCTTTTTGTTTAAAAGTTAAATGTATAATCTGTGAGTGCTTCTTAAATATTGCCACATTTGCGATCAAGGCCTCTAGAACATTCATTTCTTGACTTCACAGAAGCCACATCAACCATATATTCATTGTGCCCTTCTCCTGTTGAAAGCACTGTAAGCAGAACTATTTTTTTTTTCTGGTTTTTAACTTAAAAATGAAAACAGATTAGCCTAGGAAGCAACCCAGGATAATTTTTTTTTTTCCCCCTTCTCATCTGGAGCTTCTTTCTCACTCTTTTTATAAGTTCTTTTTTTCCACTTATTCAGAATCGTTTTGGTCACCTGTAGCAACAGTCTTAGATCACTTTCCATCTTTGCAGCTTACCTTGCTGAGCTTTCTTTTTTCTCCTCTTTCAGTGCAATTTTTGCAAAGTTGTCAGAATAAAAGTGGAATTAAACTAAACCAAAAAATCACATGTTCTATAAAAGTGAGTTTCTTCTCTTCTTGACAGACTCTCTTTAAACTCTTACAGGGTTGCTATAAAAAGTAAACCATTTATTCAAAATAGTGTCCTAGCATGGCTATTTAGTTATTTTTGCTTCTTAGCCATGGTCAAAAACTTTCTTTTACTTTTCATTTTTAAAAATAAATCTTACCACTCTAGAAACTGACTAGAAAGGACAGAGGAAAAACATGGACCTTAAAAAATGGGGGTTGATTTCTTCTAAGCTCTGCTACCTTCTTAAAATGCATACATAGGGATTCTGCTGTCATCAGTAGTATCCAAGTAACTCACATCATACCTGAGACTAAAGGAGAAAATAAAATCCTTGCAATTGAATGAGGTAATCTGGCCTTACAGTCCTTCCATAACTTTCTGCTGATACATGGCATTCTGTATCTGCTGCATCCAAGATGATATGGAAGACAAAACCAGTGATCTCCTGAAAACAAAAAGAAAAGAAAGGGTCATATTCCAGTTTTGTGTAAGACAAAGTAGGGACGCATAAAAGGGAGAGATGGAGAAACTGAGAACATACATGTAGGAGGACACTGAAGTGCTGAGGTTTAACCCCCAGCCCTGAATGAGAGTTGGCATATGGATGATGACCACAACCAGGACCCTCCTGGTTGGTTTTCACCCAGGCTCTGGCCAGCCTTGGGTGGGAACTGGTCAGGAGATCACCACCAGGTGCCTCCACCTTTCATATTAACTTGGAGATGGGGCAAGAAGACACCTCTATAAGAATGGACTCTGCTTGCTTATATAGTGGATGTGCTGTATAGGGATTCTGGTTGTCAGAAGCACTCCCTCACTGCTTATAAAAAGCAGAGTTCCAAGGATATTGGGGCAATATCCTGAGTCTTCTTCTGGGAAACTATGCTGTGATAGGGATCATGGCCTGGCTAATTCCATCTCCTGTGGCTTGGATCCTTGGGCAGCTTGCTTCCTTCTTCACATCCTATGCAGTGAGTGTATTAACTTATACCTCCCTCCAGTGGTGTGGCATCTTGGATTGTTTGTATATGATGTAAGAGCAGAGGGAGGAATTTGGCTGTTAGCATCCCTGTCAATGATAATATCATTCTATACTGGGCAAGTGGTCAGCAGAAGAGACACAAAGAAGGTGGGGCTCCCTTTTTACAAGGAGTCACATGGAGAAGACAAGGGTTAATGGATACAAGTTGATCCTGGGGAGATTTAGATTAGACACAACAGGAAAATTTTTCACGAGAGCCATCAGCCGTTGGAATAGTCTCCTCAGGGATGTGGTGGATTCCCTAGTGTTGCACACTTTTAGGATTCAGCTGGACAGGGTGCTGGGCCTTCTTGTCTAGACCACGCTTTTGGCAGGAAAGGTTGGACCAGATGATCCTTGATGTCCCTTCCAACCTGGCACTCTATGATTCTATGACACATACGTATCCTGAAAACTGAACAGCCTGAGGGAAAAATTCTCAGTGGTGGCAAATCAGATGAGATTCAGGCCCTGTTAGAACAGGCTTGGTCATGCATCTAGCCAGCTTTAATTGAGGAACAGCCTTTTAGTCAGTTTTCTCTTTCTGACTCTGGTACCAACCAGAACCCAAGAATAAGGTTTAAAGTTGTTGACATTCCATCAAATACTGCATTTTATTATTAGATTTGAAAGGTAGCGGGTTTGCTCTCAGTAAGAATGAGAAAACAAATACCACAAATAAAACTCCTAGTAGGCATTAGAAATATCTTTTGTTTAGTAGTGTCTTCTTCAAGTACGTATGCTTTGCACTTGAGGCAATGACTGTGTTGATACAGACAAATATTCTTTCAGATACCATAAAGTGCTATGGGAGACTTCATATCCACACGGATGTCTATGACTCACTTAAAGCTTCAGCTCAATGTTTGAATTCTGAGCCTGTGCTTATGTCCATAAACCTGCACTCAGTTCACTGCAGCACAGCTACACAAAGCAGTTAGGGATCAACTTTTCAGCAAACTTGTTTCCATGTGGGAGGGATGGGGAAACACCAAAAGTGTAGCTCTGTGTAGCTAGTGATTACATCATGCCGTGCAGAAAGAGGAGATGCTGCATGGTGAAACTCCTGGTTCTGTTTCCACTGTAGATATGGGTAAGGACCTTTCCAGAGTATTTATCAAGGATACAGCTTAGTAGGATCGGATTTTATTTCCTGTAATGGAAAGCTGGAAAGAAAGCAGCTGTCACTTATACATGCTTCTTGTAGAAGTCTAAGTCCAGTATCTACAATTCTGGCTTCAGTTTTGATTTCTTATTTAACACTGATTAAAGGCCAGTCAATAGGGCATCTAAAGGTTGGAGTACTGCTGGCTTTTTTGGTTTTATATGGCTTGGGAAAACACTAAAAGCTATCTAGATGTTTAGAACTTAGTTCATGAGTTTGTACCAAGGAGACTGGTACAAACTATTCTGGTCACACAGTACAGAGATCTCTGGAAAGAAACTGGGCTGGTGATTTTGTGAGCTCTACTATATCTACTTGTAAATGCAAAAGTAAACCCTTTCAATATGAAAGAGTAAAATAAATAGAAAATAAATATAAAATTATTTTGTTAGCTTTGTCTTTAAGTTATATTCTTACATATGCAACTTATGCTTTATACATTTTTTTTATATTTTCACATCCTTTTTTTTTCCATAAACATTTTAAGAAGTAATCTGGTAATGCCTTGCACTGAGCTCTCAAGGTTTGCCTACTCTAATCCTGAGGTTTAATTACAAGTGTCATTCTGAAGGCTGTGAAAAGATCAAAAGCTGTTTTGACAAAGAGTGAAGCAGAGGAGCAGCAGCAGTGTGTATAGTGGCATGGCAGTATCCCCACACCTGGCTGCACACATCCTTCTGTGGAAGGAACTAATTGTTGTTTTCTGTTTACGTTATTCAAGGTACCTAAATAACATGATGATATATCTCCTTAATATGAGAGGTAATATAGGTGAAACCAGTAAACAAAGTAAGGCTGGTCAAAGAGTAATTGCCATTTGCTGAAAATGACTTTTTTTTTTTTTTTTTTTTTTTTGAGGGCGTGGGGATATAGTATAGCATTTGGGACCAGGTTGTAACTTTAAATATATCCTCTTAGAAAAAAAATACTAAGGCTATCCTACATGAATTGATATCCAAGAAAAATGTGAATCTTTAAGGTGTCCCAAAGTTGAGACTGGTGCCTTGAGGTTTGGAGTTGGTTGTTCAGGTATTCTGGAAGCAAAAGCACACAAGTATCTCATTAAAGAAATATTCTTATAATCAGATGTTTTTGATGTTAGGTGGGTTTATTCAGATGCATCAGGAAGACTGATAGTAAAACTTGGTGATCTTGGAAACACTAAGTGCCACCAAGGTGGAGCAAACTGTATTTCCTGTTGCCTGTAGCTTTCTTGTAAAATACCAGCTCTAATAAGCAGATGAGGTTATTATAAAATCTACACATCTTTTTGTCTACCTGCTTCTGTATGTATCATCCTCCACTGGGGAAAGAATAATTTGGGGTTTATTCAGAGCTCAGCAAATCTCTGAAGGTTTCATCATCCTTATTTTAATTTTCATTAAAAGACCATTATGCAAAGGCCTTTTGATATCTGCTAAGCATTGAATAAAAACTTCTATCTTTTCTGCATTGCCAAAAAGATCCCTTCCTCAGCTCTGCTCCTGGAGGATTGCTGCTGCAGCGTGGAGGGGGAGCCTGGGAGCCAGAAGAGCTGCGGCAGCAGCGCAGCATCACCTTTGTGACAGGGTGACCTGCTGCAAGGGAAAGAACTGAAACATTTTGGCATGTTTTGTAATTTTGGTTACGTGCCTCTCAGTGAAGTTAATCATGATTATCTTGTATGAAAGAAAGGCTCTGTCCTACTTGCATCTGAGTTAATAGCAGATGGCTCATTAGTTTCAATTAGAGCAAAACTGAACCACAGGTTGCTTAAGGGCAGATTTGAATTTGAAGTAACTTTGAAAATGGTTTTATCCTGAGTATTGGATAAAAAAGAAGGGAGGGAAGGACCACTGACTGATTTTAAAAAAAAAAAAAAGTTTATTTTTTTGGAAGGAATAAAGTTTGCATAAGGTTGTTACTGTCCATGAACACCCCTGGCACAGCTGAATGCTTCTTATGTACTCAGTCCCAGCAGCAGCAAAAATGTGATAGAGGGCTTAGATTGTATAATTGGTTATTGCAGTGTCTTGGAACACCTTATTTACAGGATAAGCATATTAGATACAAAAATAAGAATAGAAGTAAATTAAACCCCCAAATGAACAAAGAGCAAAGTGTGCCCTAAAGCGATAAGTTAAATGTCTAGGGAATTCAGTGACAATTCCACACACAAAGAAAGACCGAAATTCTCTTTTGCTGAGATATACTTGGCACAGGGAAAGGCGGAAGCAGAGAGATGAGTCTGCACCCACCATGCTGTACTCTAGGGTGCTCATAGAGTGCTCTAGTTATTGTCAGGAGGAAATAGCCCCAGGATGGGGGTCTAAGTACCTAACTCCATGACTGGTGATGTGAGGTCTGGGTCAGCTCGGAAGCCTCACATGTGGAAAAAAATTCTCAAGAGACCTGATCCAGTTGCTCTGTGGGCACCTTCTGTCACCTGAGCGGAGCAATATAGAGACCATAGTGCAAAGTACAGCAGTGGGTATCTTTAGTTGTGAGATCTCAGACTGTTGGAGGCCACAGCATGGCTGCAGAAACCGTCCTTGTGAGAGCAGCAGGAAGAAGTGACATATCCTTGCCAGTACAGATCTTTAAACATTTGGCAATGAGCCTGATTTTCTTTAATGGTTCAAAAATCAGCCTTTCTGGTAAGATTATGGGAAGTGAGCAAGCATGGCAGGGAATGTTAGTAACATTCTTCCACAGTGCCTTATGTGCTATGGGCCTTGTACACTCATTTCAGGTTCTCCCTGGCTGGTCCTAGTAGACTCACCTATTGTAACACAAAATAGTAATAAATTAGGCACACAGAGAAGTAAGATACTTGAGGATATGAGAGTGATATTCCATAGGTATTTCCAGTGTAATTTTTGCATTTGAACTGGTTTCAGGTTTCTTCTGGAGAATGAGTCATCATTTAGAGGTCTGTGAACAAGTTCCCTGGTCCCGAGCTGGACGTATTTACACCTGTTAGTGCTTACAACTTTTGTGCAAAAGACAGGATGACTTAATAGCTTTTACACTCCAACTCCTCAAGGAAGTGGGAGGAAGGTATAAAATTAAATTAAATCAAGGTAGTGGTGTTTCATACCAAATTTGAACTCATGCCTGGAGCTATTCCAGGGGCAGGCAGAAGAGAATGGTGCCTGAGATTTGCCTTCTAATTGCCCACAGCAGTGATGAAACTGTTTCTAGTCATCTGTGTGTAAAGTTGACATGGCCTCTGGAGTCCTGTGAATGCAGCTTTATGTCTGCCTTTTGAAATATTTCTTAGTTCAAATATGCTAAAGAATAGTATCAGACCCAGGACTCTTCATGGGAGAAAAACATACAGAATAAGCAGGTAACTCACCTGAGGATGGTCTTGGACACTGAAAATTCAGCAGAGCTTGAGTATGTCAGCCTCTTTTTGGTCAACATTGAGCTGGCAAAGAGCCAGATCTGCAGCCTTCTCTATTGCAGTGTCATCACAGGTGGGGGAAGGCTCTGGCAGGAGAGGCACCAAAGCAAAGCACCTGGATGCCAAGGAGCAGTGAAACAAGTAAAACCATTCTGCTTAGAAAACGAGTGCAGCAGATCAGGATGGCAAGTCAGTATGGAGTGGTTGACCTGTGTGAAAGAGCGGACTTCTGTAATGGAGCTGTGTCTCTTTATAAACTCCTGTCCCCCTTTTAATTTGATACTGACCATAACCTTTCAATCAACAGCAAACACAAAGTCAATGATTAAAAGGTCTTACTAAAGTGTCGTAGCTCCCTCTGAGATCAGAGAGCACTTTCTCCTTTGGGCTTTACACCTCCAGTTCAGACTTCACTGGGCAGACGTAGAACTTTAACCTCACCACAAGGGACAAAAATATACACACAAAACTGCTTTCTAAAGAAACCAGAATGGCTTAAATAAACCTCCACGCAGGACAGGTCTGGCTCCACCTCTGGTCTGTCAGTGATCGAGTTCTTCTCCCAAATAAGACAATGGCAAAGGTCTCAGTAATTTAAACAGGAACTGGGCAAGGGCCACAGGGTTGACTGATTTTACACTTTGTATTTGTGAAATGCTAATTTTAAACAAATATACTGAGTCTGCTACATGCAGTCAGTTTTGTTGTCATAGGAAGCCCAGGTTGGGTTAATTCTTTGAGCATTTCTATGCAGTTGGATACCTCCAGATGAGTGTTAACCCTTAGCCTAGGCCAAGCCAGCAAAATGCAGTCTGTCAGACAAGGAGCCTCCAGATAAACAGCCTGCTCAGGCCATTAAATACTCTTGGATAACACAGTAACAAGAAAATGTAAAGTATTAATGGTTTCATCATGATGTCTGTTTTTAAGCAGAAATTTCCACTGTGGTTTTTTTTTTTGGACTTAACAGTCACTGTAATTGAATAATAGTGGCTTAGATGTTGTAAGTTTTGTTCTCTCCCCAAAGACTTTGCTTCTGTTGGTGGGATGGTGCAAATTAAGCTGCTGTAAGAGATTGGAGTAAACAGACAATAAGTGAATCAGGGCTATCCAAATGGTCTTAGGCTATCGAAAGAACATTTCAGGATTTGTTCCCTCTCAATGCCTTGACTCCAGCTCACTGTTCTTCCATTGCTTAAAACTCTCGATTTATTGACACCTACAAAGTATTTGACCCCCTACCCTGATGTCCCTGAGATCTGAACTTTCTCTATTTCATACCATCTCCTCCCAGCTTCTGACTTTGTTTTCATTCACATAATGCACAGATTACTGCAAAGTAATCTGTGAATTTGCCATTCTTGCATGTTGCTTCTTATGCCCAAAAGCAAGTCTTATTTCCTATTGACTCCTCCCATCCTAACTTTTTGGCTGCCCCTGGTTTCAGCCCCTGCTGCCAATGCCTAGATTTACATTCCTGTGGGTTTAGAAGCAGGTATAGTTGCATATGAACTTCACTGCTAATTTTAACATGCTGCTGCATTTTTATTGCCTGAGAACCAAATTTAGTGATAAAGTAAGAACCATCTGAAATTATATGCTGGGAGGGGAAGGTGGCTTATAAGAAAGTTACAGACCTAAGGCTGATTGTGTTCATCTTGGTGCCAAAGATCTGAAGGCAAGAATCTAGCAGAAAGAACTTTTTAAAGAAGAGAGAGCATGTAATGTAAACTGGAGGGTGAACTGTCTCTGTCTGATTTCTTGTAGCCTGCACCGTCCTCCTTGGTGGCAAGCCAGTGCCTTGCTCTTGCCACCTCTTGCTCTTTTTTTTTTGCCTGTAGATTATTCTTTCTGTACTTTGAATCAATGAAAATGTACAGCCAGTTATTTCTTTGCCAGTTCACATCATCTTGCATGTTTTCCCAGATTTAGTCCAGACTTCTCTGTGAACTGCATCTACCTATCCCATAACTGGCTCATGGCTGGATGGTTTAGGACCTTAGTTTTCGATCTTGCTCTGTGTTACTGTCTCCCTTATATTGTACGGTCAGAATTGGCTCAAGGAAAACAGTCCCACCTCTGCTTCATCTTTAGGTCCTTGGCTTCTCTAACCATTGTCACAGTCTACTCCAGTTTAAATTGTAGGAAACCACAGGAGAATCATAAGCCTGTGGCTATAGGCCTGAGGAATAAAGGAAATTGGTCCAGCAATGTCACAATTTTAATTGTTTTAACACTAGTCAGTGCTCTGCTTTCTTTCCTTTTCAGCAACAATAAAGAATACAACCCTGATGTGACTGGAGACTGAGACTCCAGGGAGGAGCTGTTCACTGACTTGGCTGCTCCCCCCACATTAGCACAGAGCACATGCTAAATTGTGCAGGTTTATTTGTACCTTTGACTTATCCCCTCACTGTGGAATCTGGAGGCTGATCTGCCAGCTAAGAGACTGCGCTGTGGTCACTATTGATTCTCGAGTGATTTGCTGAGTACAGATGAAAAAGGGTCATGAAAAATTCTGCCTGGAGAAACTTCAGTTTGAAATGACAGCAGTGTGCCTTGTGGCTAACCTGTCAGGATACAGGGGGGAATAGCTGTGCAAATAGCTGTTATCTTGAAGATATGGAGAAGTGACAACCACCGTTACTTGGGGAGGATCCCAATGAAAGTCATGATTTTCTACAAGGAGCAATTCTGCAGTATTTCACCTTGAAGGGTACCAGAAGCTGGGTAACCATTTCCCTGCACCTCAGTTTCTCTCATGGGAGATCTCTGTGATCACAGCTATCTGCTGGAGAACACCAAGTACCTTTAGGTTTGAGGATTGTCCCTGTATTGATTGAGGAAGGAAAAGTGCAAGGAAATAATTGTCTCTGTTGAATACTACTGTAAAGGTTGAGGATTTTAAAATTGTATATATTGTCATGGGTTTTTTTACTAGTTGTTCAAAGAATCTTAGCTCTTTAGCCCAGCAATGCTCAAAGCATGTTTCTCTGGGAGAAAGCAAAACCTGTCCGAAGGAATGTCCAATGGAAAGCTGGGTGGGATTATACATTCATCTAGGAAGACCTGCAACAGCACTAGTGCTGAAACTCTTCCAAGAAGACTTTGGTTGGTGGAAAACTCAGAGAGACAGAAAAGCGCAGGGCTGCTAGATGGAGCCACCTCATGTCTTGCCAGTTGCTTTGCAGTCTCGGGGTGAGGGCTAATGCACGGACTGTATCCTGGAGGGCAGGGATACAAGGGGTGAATGTTGAGAAACACTGCTGTAGTCATAGTACAGGAACGGCAGAAACAGCAATGCAGACTCGCTCACATTGTTCCCTGTGCCTGGGGATGCTTCCCCTGCAGCTAAAGGATAATAACTCATTTTCCTTATCCTTACAGTACATGGCATTTCTGTGGAGATGGGTGCCAGTTAGTACTGGCTGTGTCGGTGCCTCTTATAATGGGAAATTGTTATATCCCTGACTCTCTTCTTTGTAATTCTCCTCCCACTGGAAAGGAAAAAATTTCTCTGTTGAAGTAGCTGACCTCAAAACATGGACACAGCTGGGAAATCTGAGCGTGTCCAGCCAAAGCAGCACATGAACTACATTTGCTTTGGCAAAGCAGGATTCAAAAAAGCTGAAAAATATTGTCAGCCAGTGATGCAGAGATGACAAAACTATTCATGCTGCATTTCAGGGAAGGAGGCATTTGTATTTTATGTATTGCCATTTTGTAACACTCATTGCCCAGAGATTCTATTACTAAACACTGAATCTGTTACTGAGGTCCAGGTGCATGAATATGGGACCATACTGAGGGGAGACAAAGTGACTGCTTCAAAGCAGTCATGGTTAATGTGTCCTTAAGAGGGAAAGTGTTAAGGAGAAAGAAAATTAAGTGCAGCTACTAATTGAAATGCATGGAGCAATTCTGCTTTTTTTTTTCCTCCCTGTTTTAGGAAACAATGGAGTAGTTACACTAGGTGTAGGAGAGCATCTGTGAGGTGTGGAGGCTGCAGATGTTTTGCCACATATCCTTGCTTTGTGTGGTTGGAAAAGGCAATAAAAAAATGCATCATTTCTGGAGTTCAGAGATCCCCATGGGCAGGGATGCCTTTTATAAACATACTGTTTCTGCCATCAGACAGGCATTTTCTAAGCCTGGAAAACATTGTCTCTGCTATAACTTAGTGCTCACTTCATTATATATGAGACAATTTGTATGGTTTAGTTAAGGCAATGCCTAGTTTTAAAGATACAAAAGCTAGGAAAACTAATTGCTCCAGGCAAGTTAAAAACTCAGCCTCATGTATGTGATGTTATAGAAATGCAGGTCATACCAGTAGCCATTGCATTAAATCCTGTACTGTCTCATGTAGTGGGATGGAGGACCACCTACCTTACCACTTCAAGAAATTTCTGCGGCTTAGCACTAGTGCTCATTGAGCGAATGGCTGTGTGCAGAACATACTGGGGTCGCTGCTCTGTAGAGAGGCAAAAGATGACTGAGCAGTTGCCTGGCAGGAGCTGGCGCAGTTGCCTGCAAGGCAGTTCCTGCAAGAACTCAGCATATTCTTGAACCATGAGAGCTGCTGCCTCCTCGGGGAGAGCTTGTCAGCAGTATGCTGCTGTTGTGTCAGACTGGCTTAGAGTGTCTGGGCTGATTTCCCTTTTTCTTTCCCCTCCACACACCCAGCTGAAGCATTGGTGCAAGTGCCTATGGCTTTTGCTTTCCCCATTGACACAGCAGAGCAGAATGTTTCTGTAGAGCAACCTGTTGCACTGTGGCCAAGAACAAATGTTAGTTGTGTTGCTTGCTGAATACTGGAAGGTTGTAAGTAGAGAACAGGATAGGTTATATATATTATAGTTTAGAAGTGACATGTGTTCTGCAGCTTTTGCTGCCTGCATGATAATTATCTTGTAGCAAGTGCTGTTCCTGGTTAAAGATTCATGACTGTATTTGAGACTGTTCCCCAGGGCCTGCAGAATTCCAGTCTGGCTGGCAGCAAAGATCCTTCTGGCCCCTGTCCCTTATTACTTCTCTACCTAGAACAGATTTTGTCTCTAATGTGTCAGAAATTCAGGCAAGATTTGACTGCTAGGACAATGGTAAATTCCCATCCCTGTCTGGGTTGTATATATGACACACATGTCTGTAGTGTATTTTTATTCCCTTGACTTGGTATTCCCTCATATGCACCCAGGCCACGCAGTACCCTGTGATCCTGTCACATCTGTGTATCTGCTGGAAGGCAGAGAATACACGTGTGGGGCTGGAAAGATTGATGTCTTCAGCCTGCACAGCAAGGAAGGTGGTCTGATTCTTTGTTCCTTTCATAGATATGGATGCTCTTATGCCATGTCCAAAAGTATTGAGGTACTTCTGGTGGATATTAAAAGTAGGTACCTGCTAGGAACAATACAGATGGAAGAGAAAAATAAGGTTTTTTTCCCTGCCACTTCTTTAGTGTTATTGGTGTGTGATCAAAAGCAAGGACTGACCTGATTTCCTGTAGTGCTCAGCACCCACACATCCCAGTGAAGCTGATGAGAAGTGCAGGAGCTTACTGTTTTTGAAATCAAGCCCAGAATATGACTCATAATGCTGTGAAGGAGATACTTGACAACTAAATGAAAATATGTACACATAGAAGGTACCAAAGCATTTCTGTTGAACATTTTATTGTGAAGTAACCTTTCGGGTGGTGTTTCTATCACACAGCTACAACTGTTGTATAGGTCTTACAACAGTTTCATTCAAACAATATTTTCTGTATTCTAACTCGAGCATCTCTGTATGTAGAGAAAACAACTGCTGTGTGTTGTAAACACCTATATTTTGAAGCAGGCATTTCTGAGATCTTGGCCATGGTTCTGCTCTCTGGAGGGTAAAACTCATTTGGGGTCGGAGTCAAGCGTTCTCACCTATTTGCACTTGATGTTGTGGTCTATGTGTTGATGCTGCTGCTGCTCATTGATTCTACATTTAACTGTATTGCCATGTCTGTAACACAGCCTATATCTTGAAATGGCGAATCTTCCCAGGGCATGGGGGAGGAGGAGGCACAAAGCCAACTGGGCGAGGTACTTTGTCATGTTGAGCAACCTCTGCAACTGCTCTCTTTGCTACAGATTTTGCTGAGAGCATGGAAGCAGAAAATTCTGAAGAGATGGATTCAGATGCAACAGGGTTATTGTGGGAAAATCTGAGATTATGGTTTGTGAAGCCTTGTACAACACTGGGTACCAGTCCTGCTGATGTATCTTGACCTGGCAGAGAGTAGGTAACTCCAGGCTGGAAAAGAAAAACAGTTTGCATTCAGTGACTTGGGGCTTATAACATACAAGTCATTGATAGCTTGCTACCTATCCCACTCCTAAGGCCTCCAAACAGGTACTAAAGGTTCCTAACCATCACAGAAGTTTGATTTGCATTTGAACACATGCAAAGGAGTCCAGGAACACATTTTTAGTATCTGGTGGATCAATAGCAACAAATTCTGTGTTATGTGAACTTTCAGAGCCAATTGCACAGCTGACAAAACATTCAAGACCAGCTATTTTATTCTTCCTTTCATATACCTCCCTCACAGCTAATTTCTATTGTGTTACCAAGAGCTGTGGTCCCTAGAAAGTATTAAACCACCACTTAGCCCTTCTCAGACCAAATGGAGGCTAAAATACCTGGAGAGCACTCAGGACAAACTGTCAAGCATGGATGGCAGAGGTGACATAATTCCAGGCATAGAAATCCGTAGGATAATCAGGAACTACCCTACCTTGTTTAACAAAGTTAAACTCAAGTTATCACAGATAGCTAATGCAGCCTACTGTGAAAGAGGTAACTAGGGTGATTGCTTCTAACAGTAGGCTGGAATACTCTGGAAAGGAAGGGAATATCTGGAGATGGTACCTGATGTCCATAGAGCTTGCAGTTCACGGTGAGGTCCTGAGAGGGGCGTGTTACCATTGTTGCTGTGCAGAAACCAAAATTCTGGCAAAGCAGAACATAGTCAAGAGAAAATAGTTGTGAAACAGAGGAGACTTGCATTACAATTTTTCATTTCAGTACGCTTAGAAATAGCTACATCTTCACATGTTTTATCTGAGCAGTAAAGTGCTTGCTTTTTAGTCTGTTTGACTCAAAAGCCAAGCTGTTCAAATGCATAACCAGCAAATCAGTGAATCTCCTGTATTCTTCTAGAGTAGAACCCTTTGTGTGTCTGGATATGAAGGAGAGAAAGAATATATAGGAATCTAGGTAAAAGGTTCCCACCCACTAAAACTGCCTAGGACTCAATTTCATTAGAAACAAAAGAATTTTACTGTGATAAAGTACACAGTATAATTTTCAAGAGCCTATATATCAGAACAAAGCACAGTGACAGCTCTTAAAGTGTAGGAAGGTAAAACAGTCTGCCCTTTTGTTATGTGTTTTTATACTGTCCAGTACAAAGACCTTGATTTTCTCAGGTGCTTTTGTTAGGAAGAGTAAACAATAATATATATTCTGTCAATTAAAAAATATTTTGTGCTAAGGACACTTTGGTCCTCAAGCCTTTGTGAAATATATTTCAAATACATCAGGATTCAGTCCAGATACCTCAGAGACAAAAGAAAGGTGTGATATAGCTTTAGGAATTATATATTGAAAAGCATAGCGTGGTGGTATACCACTCCTGCACTTTCATCCTCACAAAGGTCTATTGCTGCTCAAGTACGAGCACATCGCAGCATGTTGCTTTTCTGCCTCTGAGCTGGCAAGATCAGGACTGATGTGCTGGCACACTTACAGACTGATCGTCAGGTAGCAGTTGACAGGCTTCCACATTCTCTTTAGCTTCTTCTGCTGAGCAGTTCGTGGCAGCCACAGCAAACTCGACAAAGACAATATGCGCTGGTACATACTGATAAAACAGGAAAATTGTTTAACAAACTTTGCACTGTGAAACTGCAGAGCTGCTGAGAAAAGATAAAAGGCAAATGTGGCTTCTAGCTCTGTATCTCCCACTGAACTGAAAGGGAATCCTGTGGCTAAAATGACACAAAATGCTTGGGAAATCAAGAGCATTTCAGTAGGGCAAATTAGCACAGGCTAAATCTGTTTGCAAACGTAACTAGATAGCAGTGCACAGCTAGGACTGGGAAATCATCCTGTTTCTGTGGAAGGCCAGGCATGGCTCTAGCCGTTACCTGTATTTTGGCTCTCCCAATCTCCAGGAGCCTGAGATGAGGCCCGGCAGTTTTGCTGTTGTGGTCGTTGAGCGCGGCCGTCACGGTGGTTACTACCTCGGTGTCGTTCAGCCTGGCCAGCAGTGGACAGTCAGGGCAGAGCTGGAGGATGTCTTCGCTTGAGTCTGCAGGAGGAGCCGGACAGATTATGTTTTGATCAGATTGTAGGTGGTTTTGAAAGGCATTCTAGACCTGTTCAGCCCCACCACAGTTTGCTGGTGTCTCCGGGGTGACACGGACGGGATTTTTGCAGCAGACTATAGGTGGCACTATTCCACACGAATTCGGCCGTTCGCTCCTTTTGCAGGCGAAAGTGCTGTGCCCTTCGGCAGCGCATTTTGAATGCTGTTACTCAGGTTTTAATCAATTCTCTTTCTGGCAAACTATCCATGACAACAGTGAAAAGATGCCTCAGCACACACAAGGAATGGTGGAAAAACGGAGATAGTTTAATTTAGTGGAGTTGTTTGCGTGAGTGCATTGTTTCATTCACTCACTGGTTTTGAAAGTAGCACTGAAAACATCTCATACAGAGCAAATAGGTCTCGTACAGAGCATGCCAAACACATTCTGCTTTCCTATTGTAATATTGAAAATGCTGGGTTTATTTAATAAGCTGTGTCTGGCAAAGGGGCTCTGAAGATCAGCAAGCTCTAGTACATTCACGACAACAAGGAATCATATTCTTGAGGCTCAACTCCTGAGCAGAAAGCCTCAGTACTAGCAATCTCAAGGTCAAATCTAGGACATGCTCCCAAGATAGTCTTATAGTATCTTAATTGTCATGATAAAGGGGAGCAAAGAGAGAGGGCTGGATTTGCAGGTGAACTAAATCAGAAAAAGAAAGAAAAATTTTGAAACATCTGGGTTGAGAAAACCCATTAAATGTCATCCTTTAGGCCATATTTATACACAGCATTTTACAATCAGAAAAGCTTGTGAACTGTAACCACTGCTATAATAATACACCAGCTTCTAGATTAAAACCTAAAGAACAAAGTCTTTACCTGCATGTGAGTGGCATTTACTAGCAAGTACAAAAAACTTTCCATTCACTTTCTGCAGTTTGACATCACAGTCACCCTCCACTGCCTAGAGAGAGACAAAAATCAAAGGGTTACATCATTCAGATAAATAGGATTTTCTGAAAAGGGCAACTATTATTAAATTCAAAAGAACAGATCCTGGCTGAGTATTCCTGGCAAAATCAGTCTGATTGCAAAGGCACTGCTAGGCATGTCCTGGTGTCTGATTTTGTAAAAGGCAGACCAGAGCTGCAAAAATTTGGACCAAAATCTGGATCTCAAAATTACCAGAAGTATCAGGGTAGCCAAATTATGGACATCGAGTTCCAGTTCCTCTCTCATAAAAAGCAAGAAATATGAATACTTATGAATTAAGACTTTCTGCAGAGCTGTTTGATAACATTCTTACTAATCTTGGCTGGTCAGTGGCCATGGTAACAGCAGAGTGTGCTGCCTTGTGTGAGCTGGCTCACATGCAGCCTGATCCAGCGGGGGAGGAGATGTCAAAGGCAAAGCTGGAGGCACTGGGAAGAAGAAACACTTAGAGTTACCTCCCCAAGATGGAAAAAGCGATCTGAGCCCTGCTGAATACAGGGGTGGATGATGATTAAAATTTAGTCATGAGCTCTGTGAACTGGGCCCCATTCTAGAAACAGCAGGCTTAAATTGTCAGCTGCTCACTCTGCTTTCTGCTTAGAAACCAGAGCTGCCTGTACTCAGAGGACACTTCCACTGCTTTGGTTAGGGAGAGCTTTTCACAGTTGGATCACACTTGCATAAGAACAAAATATCTGAGGCAAATAAATTCCAGCTGAGCATTACTTTGAAGGCAGAGCCCTGTTTGAAGGGAAAAGCTCTTTTGCAGTCTTGACTAGGACTAGGTGGTTAGGCTTGATGGAATTTCACTAGTTAACACTCCACATGTAGCCAAGGGAAGGTTGTGTTTGCGCATATTAACAACCTGCCCTGTCTACAGTTTGCAATGGGACTGTGACATCTGGGCTGACCATGGAGGGCTGAATCTGGAGCTCCTAAACAAGGCCCCCATGGCATTCGTTCACGTATGTGGGATGTTCTGCTGGCAGCGACCTGTCTTTTTCCTGTATCAGAATGTGAAAGAAATCCAGGGGTGAAATCCTTCATAACACGAAGGTAACTAAATCAACAAGGAGATTACAAGTGGTTGGGTGATTATAGGCTGTTACAGTGATACAATATTTGTTTGGAAATCTGATGATAGCTTGGTCTCTAGCATCAACATACTGAACATGCTCCTTTGGACCAAGCTAGTAGTGTTTTAGATACTCACATGTTCTGTGAAGCTCCTTACTGTGCAATTTGCAAGAGGCGTAGGGCTGAGAATGTGGCATGTGGTCTCCAATAAGTCAAGTTCAAGAAATATTATGTCATTATTTGGCAGCTGGAAGAATAAAAACATGAAACAGGAATTTTAGTAATCACTTCACAATACATCACCACATTTCCTCTCTGGGGCTGTGCTCATGGTCTCTGTTGCTGACTCTCATTGGATGGGTCTAGGTATACACTAGAGTAACTGAATAGGCCTTTACTATTTAACTTCATAAAAAGCAGGACCAGGTTTGTAACTGGAGTAAGTCAAGATAGTCACACTGATTTTTTCCAACTGAGGCAGTGGTCCATAGATTTTGGAAGTCCAGCCTATATGTAGTGGGTCAGTTCCCTTAAATGAACTTGATTTTATTTTGTTGAATAGTTTTAGGAATCCAGCAGCTGGTTTTTTTGATGGAAAAAGCTTTGTGTTTCTATAACCAGATGCCAAATAAACACTGCTGTGTACTGGCCTGAGCAACCTAGTCCATTGGAGTTACACTGAATTGCACCAGCTTGGTTCCAGCCCCAATACTCATGTTGCTTATGGAGTACAGGATCTTTTATGCTTGTTCTTGAACCCTTGCAACTATAACATAAGACATGTGAGTAGAAGGGCTGAAGTGAGGTTCCCTAGCTCTGAGATTGACTCTGAGGTTTGACTCATGAGTGATTCCATTTAAACCAATGAAGTTGTTTTAGTGTAAAACTATTAAATATAAGCAAAGCAGTGTCACCAGTATTTTTGTGTGGGAAGCTGTGGGCACACTTCTAATCTCATCAGTGTCTGGTTTACTCTTTTAAATGGCTTTGGTATCCTTTCTCTCGTAACAAGTAGAAAACAGCCATGGAATTTCATTCTTGTTAATATTTGGGACCATTTTCAGTGTTTTGAGAGAATCAAAGCTTCTGAATGGGTGAATACATTGTATTCATGACCATTTCTAAAGCCTTTCTTGATGCCTGCAATGATGGCAAGAGATTGTAGTGAAAATGAGACTGCAAGCTGCAGCTATTTCCATTCAGCTTCCTTGTCAGCTCAATGGTGTATTAGGTAAAATTAATGCCTACTACAAAATTACTAATAGCATGGAGTTATGATAGGTATGCATTTAGCCAATAAATAGTTACCTGCATCATGAAAATTATCCCGACAGTTTCTCTCTAGATTAGCAACTGGGCTCATGAATCAGCACTTGGAATGATCTGCTGTAGCAAACATGCTACATTTGTAAACTGAGCCCTTTCTAGCACTGTACAAAAATACCTGAACATCTCTCTCTCCCCCTCCGTCCTGCTCTTTGAGAGATACATTCCAGTGACCTGGATTCTCAACTGCTATCAGGTGGCATTGCCCCATTTAAATGAGCAGAGCCACGCTGATTTATCCCATGTGAGGATCCAGCCCTTGGCAGGACTTGTTGATCATTTCCAAACATCTCCAGGTTAATGCTCTGCCTCCAAGCTCCTCACTTACCTGCGGTAGCACGTGGATATTCTCAATCCTGTTTAAGACAAACTTGTATCCGTGATGACTGTGGCCATTAATATAACTCACAGCCACTTCAGCTGCTGCTTCAGCTTCTGGGTCATCACAGCCCAAGGGAGCAGGGGGAGCTGCTGGTGCAGCTTTGTGAATTGGAAGCTGAATGAGCAATATTAAAGCTACTAGTGCCTTCATGGCACCTGAGGAAAACGGATCCCTTTCAGAAATAAAGATCTAAGAATACTGTTCAGACGGTGGCGAGGTAGCCAGAACTGGGGTCTCATTTATATAGGACATAGCACAGACTTCGCATGAGCGCATGTCTGATACTTGTCCCAATTCCAAGAGACATTGCAAACAACAAAAGAGAAAAGTAAATGTTAGGACATCAAGCTGACTGATTAATATTGGCCAAAGTAAATTTTATCAGGTAGGATATTGCAAATTCTGCTAAAACAGCTGAAGAAGAAAGCGTCAGCAAAAATGTAGCAATTTTTTGACACTTTTCTGCCAACCAAATACAGTACATGCAAAAGGAATATAATCCTTCCTGTTAAATGTGTAGAGATGCTAGTGCTAATTAAGCTTTCTTGTAAACAGGGCACATTCTGTTAGGGCTCAAATCTCACCAGAAACCAGTCCAAATTGTGAGATCAGTAACAAGATAAATTAGAAAATGGAATTTGAATGTGTTCTAAGGATCCCATTCAGCAGTAAACATAATTATGTAGCAACTTTTGCTATTGAATTAATTTGGAATAGGAAATGAGACATAGTTTCTAAGTCTTTTGCATCAGCTCTTTTTTTCTCTGAATAATCTGAATACTTCCAGTGGATCCTGGAATTTCAGTTTGCAAAGCAGGTAACTGTAGAAATTTTTCTGGAATATCTTCTACAGATTTAAGGATTTGACAGATGATTCTAAAAGGCACAAATGTGTTTTAAGGAGAGTGTAGGTGAAAATTAAATGCTTAAATGCTCAGTAGTACTGGACTCCAGCTTATATTTACATTGACAGTGTGCATGTTTACAAAGCAATAACTGGACAACAAAAATATTCTGTAGAGTAGAATATGGCTTCTATGATGTGCTCAGCATTTAAAGTCTTTAATTTAAGCTGAGATAACTTTAGCTAGATAGTCTATAGCTCAACAGACTACAGCTCAACCAGTAGAAAAGTTTTTCCTGCAGGGATTTCGGAGTAGGTTTCTATGATTCATGTTATGATGATGATCAGACTGCAGAATAGTAGAGGTCTCTTTTGGCTTTAAAATATTTCAGTCTCTGTCATCTTTTTCATGGAGTTCAGGAATTAGCTGTGGATTTGAGATGAATAGGAGCACTTCAGCATATTTTGAAATTTCCACTTTAGATAAGTGTTTCTCAACTTGCAATATACTGTGAGTGGGGCTAAAAGATCTGTGAAAAAAGCAGTCTTCAGTCATGCCTCTCTCTTCTAGAAGCTGGAAATATGGAAAACAAAATAAATAGAAATGGGTTAGTTGGACAGATTAAGTGATGACGAAGGAGAATGGGAAGAGACAAAAAAGATACAATGATGTCTTCAACTGTGTGAAATGAGGTGAGTTTTGTATACTAGGATTTGCATAGTGAACAGATTCCTGGGTAAAGAAAGGATCTTACTCAGAGCCATTTTTTACTGCAAGAGAGAGGAGGATTTGTTTCTTCCCCTCATTTGAAGAAGGTGATGTTTGGCACTTGTTCTGTTGTGATTTGTCTTCTTGACTTTGGCCTGGAACACTTGGATGAAATTCTGGTGTCCCAAAGACACACTCTGAATGTTCCTAATGTCAAATTTGTTTAGAAAGATAGTGGTTTATTCTTTACTTTTAACCCACAGTTCAGTTTCTGACCTGGGACTCTTTTCACAGAATCACAGAGTGGTAGGGGTTGGAAGGGACCTCCGGAGATCATCTTGTCCAACTCCCCTGCCAAGACAGGTTCACGTAGGGCAGGTTGCACAGGAACACACCCACATGGGTTTGGAATACCTTCAGAGAAGGAGACTCCATAACCTCTCTGGGCCGCCTGTTCCAGTGCTCCGTCACCCTCACAGGAACGAACTTTTTCCTTAGGTTCAGATGGAACTTCCTGTGTTCCAGGAAGCTTGTGCCAGTTGCCCTTGTCCTGTTGCTAGGCACCACTGACAAATGTCTGGCCCCATCCTCTTAACGCTCACCATTCAGGTATTGATAAGCATTGGTAAGATCCCCTCTCAGAGTTCTCTTCTCCAGGCTAAACAGACCCAGGTCTCTCAGCCTTTCCTCATCAGAGAGATGTTCCAGTTTCTTAATTACCTTTGTAGCCCTCTGCTGGACTCTCTCCAGTAGTTCTCTGTCTCCCTTGAACTGGGGAGCCCAGAACTGGACAGAGTACTCCAGATGTGGCCTTACTAGGGCAGAACAGAGGGGGAAGAGAACCTTGCTTTGTTGTCCCCAAGGCCACATTGCTAACTTATTGTCCACCAGGACTCTGAGGTCCTTCTCTACAGAGCTGCTTTCCAGCAGGTCAACCCCTAAACCTGTACTGGTGTTTGGGTTTATTCCTCCCCAGATGCAAGACTCTACTTTTGTCCTTGTTGAATTTCATTAAGTTCCTCTACACCCAACTCTTCAGCATGTCCAAGACTCACTGAATGGTAGCACAGCCTTCTGGTGTATCAGCCACTCCTCCAAGTTTTGTATTGGCAGCAAACTTGCTGAGGGTGCACTCCATCCCTTCATCCAGGTCATTGATGAAGATGTTGAATAAGACTGGACCAAGTACTGACCTCTGGGAAACACCACTAACAACAGGCCTCCAGCTGGGCTCTACACTGCTGATCACAATCCTCTGGGCTCTGTTGTTTAGCCAGTTCTCAGTCCATCTCACAGCCCACTCATCTAACCCACATTTCCTGGGCTCACCTATGAGGATGTTATGGGATACAGTGCAAAAAGCCTTACTGAAGTCAAAGTAGAAAACATCCACTGCTCTCCCTTCATCTATCCAGCTGGTCACACCATCATAGAAGGCTGTCACATGAATAAGCATGATTTCCCCTTGCTGAATCCATGGTGACTATTCCTGATTAACTTTCTTTTCCTCCATGTGCTCCCTCAGTGCTCATGGGTGATTTGTGAGTGTTCAGTTTGCCTAAATCATCCTTAACCCAATCCTCATCTACCAGTGGACAGTCTGCCTTCCTCCAGACTCTTTCTCTTACCTCTAGGGACTGAGATTCCTGAGACCTTGTCTTAGTAGTAAAGCCTGAAGCAAAGAAGTAACTTTCAGTAATTCCACCTGCTCTGTGTCCACTGGCACCATGGCTCCCACCTCATTTAGCAGTTGGCCCACATTTTCCCTAGTCTTTCTTTTGCTACTGATGTACTTGAAGAAGACCTTCTTGATGCCTTGTACATCCTTATCTAGCTTGAATTCCAAGAGGGTCTTAAATCATAGAATCACAGAATCTTAAGGGCTGGAAGGAACCTTGAAAGATCATCTAGTCCAACCCCCCTGCTAGAGCAGGGTCACCTAGAGTACATCACACAGGAAGGCGTCCAGGCGGGTTTTGAATGTCTCCAGTGAAGGAGACTCCACAACCTCTCTGGGCAGCCTGTTCCAGTGCTCTGTCACCCTCACAGTAAAAAAAGTTTTCCTGATATTCACCTTGAACCTCCTATGCTCCAATTTGCACCCAAAACCTTCCTTTGCACCTTAACCTTCCTTGTTGCATCTCTACATACCCTGACAACATTTGTATAATCCCCCCAAGTGACCAGTCCCTTATTCCACACACTCTAAACTTCTTTCTTCCATATGAATTTTAACTCCCTTTTCCTTCTCTAGCATGAAACATTGGGCTACACTTCTAACAGCTGCAGATTGGAATTGTTTTTCACCTAAGCAAGATATAATTACTCCAGTGAAGGACTTAGGCCATTATTTATAAATTTAGTGTGGTCATTATTCAGTTTCTTATGTTACATCTTCTCCACTTCGGAGTTGCAAATAGTGTAGGATGTAAAACATTTATTCAGTCAAGCTCTAAGTATTCCTACATGTAATATATAACCAAGTTCAGTCAGCTTCAGGTTCCATTTTTAAAGAACAACTTAAAACCTCAAGTACCAAAGAATATTTATTGTCTTCTTTCTTCCCCGTTGTCACTCACATTCAGTATTCCATTTACCGAGCAGGACAAAAAGGAAATTATTTGGAATCTACTGTAACTCTTCCCAGTTTCTCTTTAAGCTTACTCACCCCTCTTGGTGTCTGCATGAACTTTCTTTGCTGGCACATAGTGTGTGCCCACATGATTATTAATTCTCAGCGCAACGCAGAAAGTCTGTAGGTAGGACTTCTTGAGTGCCTTGTGATATGTGTGAAGAAATTGGTATTTGGGTTTTACGTTTGGGAACAGAGTTTAGAAGTGCAATCAGGTAGTTTGGCTACAGGTAATATGACAAGGAGCCTTTCACCTTTTGGATACAGACTGACACTTATCTGCTCAGTTATTCTCTTCTGGAAGTGAGATTGCTGATGTCAGTTCCCTGCAGGCCTCTGTCCCATCATGACGGCTCTTTTTTGACACCCTCCCTCAAGAAGCGATAACTGCAGAAATAACTCCTCACTGAACAGAGTGCAGATCTATTCTCTTTCTTTCACATCCAGGACATAGTACAAAGTTATCCTTTAGCAGTGGCTGCAAATAGTTCTTACAGCACAAGGAAATGAGCTGAATTCCATGGGCTCCTAGACAGAAGGTCATATCTTGACCTCTCTGAAATGAACAAGTCACAATATCACAGAGTGGTTGCCATTGGAAGGGATGTCTGGAGGTCATCTTGTCCAACCCCGCTGTACAGGCAGGACTGTGTATAGACAGTGGCCCAGGACCATGTCCAGGTGGCTCTTAAATATCTCCAAGGAAGGGGATCTCACCTTGTACCTGTGCTCAATCACCCTCACAGTAAAAATCTTGTTTCCTGATGTTCAGACAGAACCTCCTATTTAAGTTTCTGCTCATTGCTTCTGGTCATTTCACTGAGTACAACTGAAAAGAACCTGATTTTGTCATAGAATCATAGAATCATT